ATTGGATAACTTCACTTAGTCAGAATGGTTCCAGCTTTATCCAGGGGTATACAAGAGTGCTATATCCCATGTTTCTAAAGCTGAGTAGTACTCCATGCGTATACATATACCACATTTTATTAATCCCATCATGAATTGATGGGCACTTGGGTTGTTTCCACAGCTTTGCAATTGTGAATTGTGCTGCTATCAACATTCGAGTGCAGGTGTCTTTTTCATAAAGTGACTTTTGATCTTTTCGATAGATGCCCAGTAGTGGAATTGCTGGATCAAATGGTAGATCTATTTGTATCACTTTGAGGTATCTCCATATTGCTTTCCACAGAGGTTGAACTAGTTTGCAGTCCCACCAGCAGTGCAGGAGTGTTCCTCTCTCTTCTGTTTAAGTCCATTGTTTCTTTGTTGATTTTCTGTTTGGAGGATCTGTCCTGTTCTGTGAATGGGGTGTTAAAGTCTCCAACTATTATGGTGTTATTGTTTATCCATTTGTTTAGATCAAGTAGAGTTTGATTTATGAATCTGTGTGCACCAAGGTTGGGTGCATATCTATTTAGAATTGTTATGTCTTCTTGTTGAACTGTACCCTTCACCATTATATAGTGACCTTCTTTGTCTTTCATTACTTTTGTTGATTTAAAAACTAAGTTATCTGTAATCAGCACCGCCATGCCAGCCTTTTTTTTGGCTTCCGTTTGCTTGAAATATTTTCTCCCCCCTTTACTTTAGTCTAATTGGATCCTGCAGGTTAGATGTGTTCCTGAAAGCAGCAGACACTTGGCTTGTGGTTTTATATCCATTCGGCCAGCCTGTCTCTTGAGTGGAGAGTTCAAGCCATTCACATTTATTGAGATAACTGATAGGTGGGCAGATTTCTGTTCATTATGTTGGGTTGAACTTTGTGCTTTGTTTCTCTCTTGAGCCATTGTAGTGTTGGGCGTTAATCTTTAGCTTTGAGTAGATTTACACCGTGAGTGTTTATTGTGCTGATCCGTGGGTAAGATTGTTTGAGTATTCTTGAAGGGCTGGTCTTGTCTTGGTGAATTCCCTCAGTCTTTGCTTATCTGAGAATGTCTTGATTTCTCCTTCATATACAAAACTTAGTTTTGCAGGAATAAGATTCTAGGCTGGGCATTGTTCTGTTTCAGAAGGTGAAATGGGCCCCAGTCTCTCTTGCTGTAAAGTTCAGTAGAGAAGTCTGGTGTTATTCGAATTGCTTTCCCTTTGTATGTACTTGCTCTTTCATCTTACAGCTCTTAGAAGGGCCTCTTTAGTTGATATTTTGGTTAGTCTGATGACTGCATGTTGTGACGTCTTCCTCTTTGCATTGAATCCGCAGGGTCCTGAGAATTGATTCTTCATTTCCAGGAGTTCAGTTAAACTTTTCTTCATTGAATCGATTTCTTTAGTGAATTTTTGTTCCAGGTCCTGGAGGTTTTTTGTGGTTTCTTTGTGTTGGTTATTGAGTTGTTCTTGCAAGTCATTGAATTTTCTTATGATCCACATTCAGAATTCCTCTTCTGTCATTTTGGTTGCCTGATTTTGGCTGGTGTCCGTTTCTAAGGGGCTGGTGCTCCTCTTTGGGGGTGTGTTTTCTGTTTGGTTCTTCATATTTCCGGAGTTCCTTCGCTGATTTCTTCCCATGTCGATCAGTTGTTGCTTCTTTCCTTTAGGTTTTCGTTTGGGTATTCACATGCCTTGTTTAGTTTCTGAGCCGGTAGGTGGTGTCTGTGGGTGAGATTTGACCACACCCTGTATAGTGAGTCAATAGGTGCCGTGAAAAGGGTGTGCAGGGTGTCCTCCTTGTCAGTAGGTGGCGCTTGCTTGGAGGAACAGGCTATGTTGTTGTTTTTGTGACCTGTAACCAGCTCTTGTTCCTCTAGAGAGGCACTCTAGTGCCTCAGGTGGTGGGTGGGGCCCTGGGACTTCCAGGTGTGTCCTTTTCTCCCCCTCAGTGAGGGCTGGTCTAGGAGAGAGTCTGGGCGGAGCTGGGTTGGGTAAGCCTGCCCTCAGGCAACACCAATGCTGTTAGCAGGGGTCAAAGTTCTGGTTTCTGCTTCCAGGAAAGGCTGCCAAGGAGGGGTGTCTGAGTTCCCCTCAGTCAGCTGTAGGGGCCCAAAAGGGAAGGTCCCGTTCCCCAGAGGTGCCTCCAGCTGGTGGCTGTATTGTCTGTCTCGGCAGCGCGGATAGGGTCGGGGGAGGGGAGAAGGAGGCAATATGGCACCTGCCGAGAAGCTCGGGTCTGTGCACAGGGAGGTGCCCTGTGGGAGTTGGGAGCCTGGTGCCGTGTCCGCTACAGGCTTACTGCTCACTGGTGGTGGCCATCTCTGGGCTGGCGTCCGCAGGTCTCTCCACCCGCTGGGGCGCCCACCAGCAGTCCGAGATGCAAGGGAGGGGAGAGTTAATCGCTCTACCTACCCTTGCCACTGGTCTCCGGCTGTTCTGGAGGTCTCTGCTTCCAGTTCTCCTCCACAACTCCCGCCCATGGAGTCTCCTGTGGTCTCAGGTACCCTCCTTCTGACCTTCATCTGATGTATGCTCGTCTTCTTGCTTCTTTCTTCTAATTTCTGCTAGAATCTGTCTTTTCTTTAAAGACACTCTGTCTGGTGGTGTTTCTCGTCTGCCATCTTGATTTGGCTATTGAGCACTTATTACGTGCCAGGCACTGGGTGAGGAATTACACGTGTTAGGTTGTTTCGGGCCTCGTACAAGACTCTACCTAATCCCTATTAGAATCGTCCATTCATTCAGCACATATTTACTGAGCACATATTATGTGTTATCCCCTATGCCAAGCACTGGGCGATAGTGGTGAATAGCACAGAGTCCTCCATCCTTGCTGAGTTAACAACAGCAAAGTGGTCAGAGCACAAACTTTGGAGCCAGAGTGCTGGGTTCAAATCCAAACTTAGCTGTATGAATGTACAAGCTATTTAAACCATCTGTGTCTCAGTTTCCCCACCTGTAAAATAGGGTTGATAATAGTTCCTGTACACTAACGCTGCTATGACGCTCCCAAGACGTGATCTCCATCTCAGAATCTGCTTCCCTGGGAGTCCGACCTGAGACATCTGGATGTATGGCCGGTTTAAATGTTTGCATTTGCATATACCCCTGTAACCACTGTCCAGATCAAGATTAACAGAACACTTCTAGTATCCCAGCAGCTCCTAAAACCCTCTCCTGATCAACAACCCCCTAAAGGTAACAACTGGGAGACAGGTTTGAGGTCACACTTTCCCTCTCATCCCACATTCCATCCACCATCAAGGCTTCTGGGCCTTGAATCCATCTACTCTCCCCATCTCCACTCCCACCTCCAGCCCAAACTGTCATCGCTTCTCCTGGGATGACTACAATAGCCTTCTACAGTGAGTGTCCACCCTTCTCGCCCTGCCCTGAAACCCATTCTACCAGTTCTTGGCTACCTTGGGTCTAACAACATTTGAACGGAGGGGTGAAGGCATTGCTACGAGTGTGGGGACCAGGTCTCCTCCGCCAGCACGGAGCTTATGCAGGCGAGAGTGGGCATTTTCAGAGAATGAGACATAGGCTCGGAGGCGCCCCAAACAACATGGACTCCGAGATGGCATTGGACTGAGACCTTCGTGAAGATAAGAGTGAAGAATTCAAAGCCATTCATTGGTTCATTCCTTTATTTAACAGGCAAGTGCCAAGCTTTTGCACCAGGCAGCTGCCATTCTGGACCATAGGGACAAAGAATAAGGCATAGTTTTTGTCAAGTCTCATGAGGCTGGGGAGGTAAATGACCCAGCGAAGGAACACAGTGAGGGTCCCAGGTGTTGCACAGAAGCCTGATGTGGGTGTAGGGAGAGAGTAGGGACAGAAGGTGACTTGGTCAGCTGTATGAGGCTTAGAGCAGTGGTTCTTAAACTTCAATGTGCATCAGAATGTTAATATGATTTGCAATATGCATCAGAAGTTATTGGGAGGCTTGGTAAGACATAAATGTCTGGGTCCCACCACCTGAGAATGTGACTCAGGTTAAGTCTGGGAATGTTGCTGAGAATTTTCCTATCTAAGAAGTTCCCAGGGAATGCTGACTCTGCTGGTCTGACATCCATGCTTTGGGAGTCAATGACTTGGGAAGTGGAGCACTGAAAGATGAAAACATAGAGGGAACGGACGGAGGGATGAACAAGGGCTAGACAGTCAAAGATCCCGAATGCCAAGCAAAGGAACTTGAACTCTATTCTGTGGGCAATGGGGAGCCATCAGAGGCCTTTAAGCAAGGGAGAGGGTATGTTCACATTTATGCTTCAGAAAGAGCACAGTTGTCTGGGCAGAGAGGGGCAGGGGCGGGGAACAGGACCATAGGACCGTCATGGGCAACCTGACCACAGGCACCCAATACGGGTTGCTTGTCCTGTCACGGTCCCCGTAATCTCAGCTCCTCTTAATGAGCATGATGGTGTCACAGTCCTCGATCTGCAGGTCTGCCAGGCTGCGGCGATCCCACAGTTTCCGACCCTGGAACTTCAGTATCTGATCCTCCACGTGAGGTCCTCCGGCCTCCTCGATCTTCTCTTTCAAGTCACCGATGGAGTCGTCGGGGTGGATGGCGAAAGGCTTGCTCCAGCCGCTGGAGTCCTTCACGAAGACCTGGATCTCAGGAGGGGTGGTCTTCAGCACCCGGATGCTCACTTTTGAGAAGATCCCATAATCCGCCAGGGTCCGCTGACTGCTGAGAAGCTGTCGCTCCCCTCCCGGCTCCTGGAAAGACAGTCGCTGCTGCCCGCTGAAGTCACACTTCCTCCTGATCTCTGTCTTCATCTTCCAGATGGGGCTGTAGGGGTTCACCGACAGCGTCCAGGCCTCCTCCCCTGTCTGTTTCACTGTCACCAGGACGTCCCTTGCTCGCTGGAAGGGAGGGAGGAGCAGACGAGGTTATCTATCTGGGTGGTCCTGTCTGTTGTCCCCAAAGCCTTGCTTCTGGCTGCTGCTGATATAATGTATCGCCTACTGAGATACTTCCAAAACCAATACGTGAGATGACAGGCATAAACCAGGACTGCCCCAGGGAAAGGAGGCTACTTGGTCACCCTAGGCTTGTAGAATCATCGGGTCAAACTGTCCTCTGACTCACCCCAACCAGAGTGACAACTGGCGACAGTTCTCCAAATACTCCTCCTCCTGCATAGACCTATTCAGAGTCCTTGCCTGTCAGCTGGTGATGACATTGCACTTAGCCCAGAGCTGCATCACAGTGCTGTTGGGAGGCCCGATGATGTAATGTATTTCAAGCTCCAGCTCTATGTCTAAGGATGTTCGTTGTAATGGCAAAAGTCTGAAAGCATCCCGGTTGTACAAACTAAAGTACTTTCATTCTCACTGAATTGTCATATACTGTTGAGAAGATTGATGGGATCTAGGGTGATTTTATGTTCCAGTTTGTCCAGGGCAGTCCTGGTGCATGTCCCTTGTCCTGGCATAATTCACACCACCCCGTTTTCTGCTCACAAGTGTCCTGATTTGGACTTCATATATATGGTTATGCTGATTAAGTCTATATGTGTGGATATGGAATTGTCTTTAAGATCATTTAATTTAGTAATCGAATAACTCATTGAATAATAATTTGAGTGAATGAAATAAAAATGCAAAAAGCCCCCAGGGTGTATATTCAGATACAAGCACGTGCTTTTGTGTGTACAGCATATCCACAGGAGGGGACAGGAGTGATTGACAAGCAGATGTCTGGGAGGGGGTTGAACTGAGAGACTGGGGCCCAGAATAGGAGGGACACTTACTTTAATTGTGTATCCTTTTAAATAGTTAGATTTGCTTTTTTTTTTTTTGCCTTCCCAGGACCCTTGTGATCCACTGGATGTTCCCAGCCAATGGGACATGGCCAGGTGGTAGGTCCCTCTGATGTCTTAGTTATCTGCCTTTCTTCAATTACTCCAGGGTAGCCTTTGAGGCCAGACTCTGACTTTCCATGCAGGATATGAAATGCAGGATTGGTGACAAGATTCCTCCACGAGCAGCAGGTTGGGGAAATTAGATCTTTCAGGGAGTTCTCATAAGCAGAGTCCTGGTCCCTGTGTGCCCACTTAGTGCTCAGACCTTGCAACCGTGATCTGTGTGGGAAAATTCATGTGTATGTGAGTATGTGCTTTACCACATCCCTCAAATGGCTGCAGAGCAGGGCAAAAATTGCCTACCTATTTTACAGGTGAAAGAACTGAGGCCCAGACATTTACAGCAGAAGGGGAAGAACTGCACATCTGGTGGGCTGGGATGTCTACGTGGAAGGGGTTTCTGGTCCCAGGGACCTATGGATGCGGTGGCAAGAGTTGGGGGGATTCATGTTAAAAGGAGGTCAGCACTGAGTCAGTACTGTGGGTGGGGGGAGGAGCTCATACCTGCACGTCCCAGCCCTGGTGGGGGTCCACAGTCCTGCAGCAAGCCTGCCGCAGGCAGTAAGCGGCCTCTTGGGCCACCAGGTCCCATCTCTTTTGCCTTCCCAGGTTGTTGGTGGGGTCAGCTGGGTCCAGGATGATGGGCCTGGAGAGAGAAGGGGAGTGGATCTCTGTCACACTCAGGACTCTGGTCTCTGGCCCTCAAGCCTACGGGACTGTGCATGTCTCTGTGTAGAGAGGCCTCCCTGCAAGATGGAGCTCTTGTTCGTGATCAGAGTGTAAGATACTGGGCTATAAAAACAATAGACACCTTCCAGCTTCTGTTTGCTGCTTGTTTGCTAACCACAAGGCATTATAAGTACATTATAAGATGCAAAAAAAAAAAAAAAAAACCAAAAAACAAAAACAAACAAACAAAAAAAAGGCAAAAACCAGAGTCTCTCAGCTAAGACCCAAAACAGGTTAGAGCCTATCAGGGGCAGGATAAAATAAAAATCACTGTGGGGGCAGATGCATGATCAGTATGTAAACAGCTTGGATATAAAAGGCTCACTAGCACACAAAGGGGGCCCAAAAAAGAGGCCACTGCGCTGGCACTCTGGGGACTCAGACCCTAGCTCGAGCTAGACAGTAAAACTCCTTTTGATAATTACAGCCTCGATAACTCTGTCTCTCTGTCCCGAGGCCCTGTAAAACTCGGCTATATAACAAGAGATGTAACCTAAGCAGGCACGATCAGAGCGAATTGCAGAGATTTTGCTTGGAATGCTCCATTTTGTAGTATGTGTCCCGATGAGGAGCCTAGAACTGATGCAGCCATGAAGGAATTAGCCTGAATCCAATGGTAAAACCCTGAGTAGGTCAGATGTCTATATATGAATATATTCATATGAAGAAAAAATAAAAAATAAATAAATAAATAAATAAAACCCTGAGTAGGGCAGAGCTAAGCAATTCACAGACTGGGACCCTGATGACATAGCAGACGTCTGGATCTCACCATACCTGTAGCTGCTTTTATCCTTGGACTTTTTTAGTTACAAAAGTTACAATCAATTCCCTTAATATTTTAAGCTGTTTGAGCTGGGTTTTCTGTTCCTTAAAGCTGAAGATAATGCAACCAACACACGCACCTGCATTCCTTCAACTTTTGTTTGATAAAGTTTCTGACAACGTCATTTTGGAAATCATAGTACTTGGTCCAGTATATGCAGATGTCTTGATAATCTGTGAGGAGTTCCATCACAGCCACAAAGCCTTCATCCATCTCAAAGTTCTCACTTTTGTTTGTACCCATTTCCCAGGCATAGATGGTCAGCAGCTCCAGGGCATATTTGGGAGGTAATGCCACTCTTGGATATTTAGGTTTCAAGCACTAGAGAAAGAAGAGGGGGTAGAGAGAGAAACTGAGATTGATGCCTGATATCCTGGGACTCTCCAGGTCACTCCGCTGCATTACGTAGCACAAGCCATGAAATGGCCTGGGGTCTAGATGGGCTAATATCCTAAGGTCATCAAGATTTCAAAAAAGAGGAATCTTCTGAGCATCATCAATCCATGTCATTCAGTTGGAATGGAGGGGGCAATATAATATAGCGAATCTAGGAAATAACTGAAGAAAACGAAAACACATCTGCACATTGAAAATATAAAACGAAATCAGGACAAATTGAAAGATAAAGGAGAAAGAGTGATAATGTGCAATGTTCACTTCCTCCAATATTAGTTTAGAAATTTATTGCAATCTCAATTAGAATCCCAGTGATGTTTTTTAATGGGATAAAATTATCTTAAGGTTCATATATAGAAGAATACATGCCCAGGACAGCCAACAAAATGAGAAAAAAGAAAAACAGACAGGTTGATATTTGTCTTCTCAGATATATTGTACAAAACAGTTGTCACCAAAACACTATGCTTTTGGCATAGGAATAAGCGGTATAAAACATTTATTAACAGAACCAATAGCCCAGAATTAGTTCCCAGTGGAAAGGAGAACTTCATAAATGATAAAGGTGGTGTTTCGGTTTAGTGGGAAAAGGATGCATAATTCAGTGAATGATGGTGGCACAGCCTGTTTGCCATTTGGAAGAAAATAAAGTAAATAAAGGTGATCACAATGTCACACCACATACCAAAATAGATTACAAATGGAATTAAAGTATTTAGTAAACACATTAGAAAAAAATTAAGAGACTATCTATCTATATAATATATATAGCAGGTCAGATAGGACATTTACAACCTATAAAGAAAGTCAGACATATTCCTCTTTGTAAACATTAGAAATCATTATGTTGTCAAAGATAGTATAATTAACATCAATAGATGTATGATATATTGGTAAAAATGTCTGCAAAAAATATGAGAAATAATAGTAAATATTTACAATTTACCAAGAGGTCTCACAATTGAAAAAAACAAACAACTCAACGAGAAAATGCATAAATTACATTAATAGATAATTTCCAAAAGTTCAAGTCCAAAGGTCAATAAGCAAATTTATTTTTTAAGGGTAGACTACAAAATCACAATGCATGACATGATTCTATTTATATAAGCTATGTGTGTGAGCTATATGAATATAAATGTAAAGAGAGGCATGAGAAAATAGTGTTATTGGTATTGTCTCAGGGATTTCATGTAAATTTTACCATCTTTCTTATACCTTTTTGCATTGTTTAAATTTTTTTTTGTTTGAGATGGGGTTTCACTCTGTTGCCCAGGCTAGAGTGCAACAGCCCAATCGTAGCTCACTGCAACCCCAAAATCCTGGGCTCAAGCGATCCTACTGCCTCAGCCTCCCAAGTAGCTGGGACTACAGGCTAACACCACCACACCTGGCTAATTTTTAAAAAATTTTTTGTAGAGATGGGGTCTCCCTGTGCTGCCCAGGCTGGTCTCGAACTCCTGGCCCCAAGCAATCCTCTTGCCTCAGCCTTCCAAAGTGCTGGAATTACAGGCAGGCATGAGCCACCACAACTGGCTTTAAATTTTTTTTTTTTTTAATAATGAGTCCATTGTAATATTCAGCTAATCAGAATAAACAATTTATTATTATTATGAAAAATACTTCGCATTGTTGGTTAAGAGCACACGTTCTGACGTCAGACACTTTTGTGTTCAGATCTCAGCTCCGCTTTAGCTTTTTTTTTTTTTGGAGACAGAGTCTTGCTTTGTTGCCCAGGCTAGAGTGAGTGCCGTGGCGTCAGCCTAGCTCACAGCAACCTCAAACTCCTGGGCTCAAGCGCATCCTCCCTGCCTCGCAGCCTCCCGATAGCTGGGATTACAGTCATGTACCACCAGCCGGCTAATTTTTCTATATTACTACTTGCACAGTTTGGCCAATTAATTCTTCATTTATAGTAGAGACGGTCTCCTCTTGCTCCAGGGCTGGTTTGAACCTCCGACCTGAACAATCCACCCCGCCCTGGGCCCCCCCAGAGTGCTAAGGATTACAGGGTGAGCCACCAGCCGGCGGCTTTAGCTTTAGAGTCTCAGTTTTCTTATCTCAGAAATGGGGATAATGAATAACACATGCATTAATAGAGTTGTTGGAAAGACTGGATGAGGAAAAATAGGCAGAAAAATGCTTACATAGATGTGGGATAATAACACCTCAATAATAGCTTTATTATCTATAGTGTTGTCTTCATCTCATCCACGGAAAAGCCTGGGCCTAACCTGCGAAACATTATGCTTCTGCTGATCCCAGAACCCTTCAATTGCCCTTCGAGGATTGTGTCTTGGACCAAGGAGGCTCCCTAGTGGGACACTGCGCTTCAGAAAATAACGGAGCAATTACAACACCACCACCGACAATAATGGCCATCCCTGACATTGGCCGGTGTTCTACTATAGCTTTAACACTTGCCAGTTATGCTATTTTCACCAACGTACCATTAGCCTGCCCTACTATCTAGACACCTAGGTTGTTCCGATTTTTCCCCTCCTTAAATAAAGATGGCGGGCAAGCGGTGGCTCATGGCCTGTAATCCAAAAAAAAAAAAAAAAAAAACAAAAAAAAAAAAAAAAAAAAAAAAAAAAAAAAAAAAAAAAAAAAAAAAAAAAAAAAAAAAAATAGCACTCTGGAGGCCGAGGTTGGCGATCGCCAACCGGTCAGGAATTCGAACAACCTGAGCAACGAGCGACGACTCACTCTTATATAAACGAGATATGTAAATTAATTGCCACAAAAATATATACAAATAAAAATTTAGGCCGGGCATGGTGGCACAATGCCCTCCTAGTCCAGCTACGTCGGCGCGAAGCTGAGGCCAGAGGTGTAGACCAGGAGTTTTGAAGTTGCGTGACCTAGGCTGACCCATTGCTGCCACACGTCTATCCTGGGCAACAAAGTGACCCTCTGTCTCAACGAAAGAATAAAATAAATAAATAAAATAAAAATAAAATAAAAAAAATAAAAAAATAAAAATAAAATAAATGGATGGAAGGCCCCGTGCGCCGTCCACGCCCTCGTAGCGCTACCTACCCCGGCACCCCGCCTCAACCGCCTGCAGAACCAGTGCTTTACCAGCTGCAGGAGGCTCTTCAGCTTGGCAGGACAGCTTTTCACAAAGTGCCTTTCTGCAAGCTTTTAACTTGATGAAACTCCCAGGGTGGCCGGCGCTGGTGATTAGATTTTCATAGATTTCTGGTGCTGGTTTAGAGTCCGGGCAAAAGGATCCTGGGAAGAGAAAAATACCTGGTTAGGAAGATGTACTCTTTCAGGTTGGAATATGGGAAAAGAACTGCTGAGCATAGAATATGCATACATTATCCCATGCAATCCTCACTGTAGCACCGTTTCCCCCATTTTACAGCTAAATAAGCAGAGGCCTAGATGGTTTGGTAGTACACTCAAAAGTCACATGGAGGCCAGGTGTGGTGGCTCACACCTGTAATCCTAGCACTCTGGAGCCGAGGCGGGAGGCCCATCGTCAGATCAGAGTTCGAAACCAGCCTAGCAAGAGCGAGACCCGTCTCTACTAAAAATAGAAATAAATTAATAGCCAACTAAAAATATATAGAAAAATTAGCTGGGCATGGTGGCGCATGCCTGTAGTCCCGGCTTCTCAGGAGGCTGAGGCAGAAAGATTGCTTGAGCCCAAAAGTTTGAGGTTGTTGGGAGCAAGCTGATGCCACGGCACTCTAGCCCGGGCAACAGAGTGAGACTCTGTCTTAAAAAAAAAAAAAAAAGTCACATCGATTTTGGAAAACTCACATTGACCAAAGACTCGCCGTGTGTCAGGCACTGGGCTAAGCTCATGGAATCAGCACAGCTACATGAAGCAGGTACACGTAAGTGGAACCACAGGGAATTGCCATTTTTGTGGGTCAAACGAGCTCAAATATTGTCAGTTGCCTATGGGTCACTCAAATTTAATATTATTGTCCCATTCAACAAGTTGGTAGGCTCAGTCTTGGCGGGGTTAAATAGTTTGACCAAGGTCGTGCAACTAGTAAGTCTTAGAGCACACGTTTGAAGTCATTAAGGGCCTTTCTCGCCTTTGATTAGAGACAGGGTCTCACTATGTTGCCCAGGCTGGAGTGCAGTGGCTATTCACAGGCATGGTCGTGGTACACTACAGCCTCAAACTCTTGGAATCAAGTGATCCCCTTGCTTCAACCTCCCACGTAGCTGGGACATGGGACAGGTGCATGCCACTGTGCCTGGCAAGAGCCCTGCCTTAAAGATGATTCCAATCCAGTTATGTCCGACTCCAAAGACCTTGAAGAACTTGTTTGAGCTGGCGTTTCCCAGAAGTTCAAAGAAGAATCGCCTTCTTGGGTTGGGTGGGAATCCATTATTTGGGAGAAGTCCCCTTTCCTCGGGCCACAGTGGGACTCGGCAGCCCATGCATTTATGGGAGGATTTAATCTTCGGGGTATTGCTCTAGTCTCATCTCCCTGTAAAAGAGCAACCTCCACGCTCGCCTCACTGGATTTCATTTCCCCAGAGCTCCTTGGAGGCCACTATGGTAAAGGGGCCCCCCTAGTTTCTCTGGACCCGCCCCATGGCTGTCTTTACCCAGAGCATTGAAAGCCGGGAGCAAGTCCACCTTGACGACTGGACTGTTCTTCCTGGACTGGACCTGGAGGGACAGGGAGCGAGGGGCTCTGGTCCCTCCTCTGTGCTGGGCCACAGTGATTTTGTAGGCCAGGCTTCTGCTGCAGTGAAGCAGTTTCTCCTCCAGGAAGTTGAGGATGATTCCCCGGACCAGTGCCTGCTGCCAGAAACTGGAGAAACAGCTCAGAAACAGAACCAGGTCCAGGTCAGAGCTGTAGTTCAGCGTCGTCCCCTTCCCTGTGGAGCCACCCTGTGGGGAACAACAAGGTTGAGCTTCACCTCCGCTGAGATCTGATACTTTGAGGTTGAGACTGAAGCCGGAGGCACCTGTGTTAGTCTGTTATGTAAACCAAAGGTCTTAAAGGAGCCCTTGGTCTCCACCAGATATTGGGGGCCTTTGCTACGGGTATCACTACATGTTTTCATTGTTTAGAAACACTAAATACCTGGTCAGCAAGTCAAAGGATATAAATGAGATGTAAAGCTCCATTTCTCCCCAGCCCTCAAACCCCTCCTCCAGAAGCAACTACAGTTACCAGCTTCTTACATAGTGTCCCATTAATATGAATGTTCTACGCCAAGACCTGCGCTATCCAATATGGCGGCCAACAGCCACATGTGGCTATTTCAATCTAAACCAATTCAAGAATTTATGAAGAAGACCCGAAAGGCAATCACAGCCACAACAAAAATAAATAAATGGGACCTGATCAAATTAAAAAGCTTCTGCACAGCCAAGGAAACTATCACGAGAGCAAATAGACAACCTACAGAATGGGAGAAAATATCCGCATGCTACATATCCGATAAAGGGCTGATAACCAGAATCTATATAGAACTAAGGAAAATCGGCACGAAAAAAAATCAAACAACCCCATTAAAAAGTGGGCAAAGGACATGAACAGAGACTTTTCAAAAGAAGGCAGACTAATGGCCAGCAAATATATGAAAAAATGCTCAACATCTCTAATCATAATGGAAATACAAATCAAAACCATAATTAGATATCATTTAACTCCAGTGAGAATGGCTTTTATCAAAAAGTCCCAAAACAATAAATGTTGGCGTGGATGCAGAGAGACAGGAACAGTCATACGCTGCTGGTGGGAGTGCAAACTAGTACAACCTCTATGGAAAGCAGTAATATGGAGATACCTCAAAGAGTTAAAGGTAGAACTATCATTTGATCCAGCAATCCCAATACTGGGCAAATACCTAAAGGAAAAGAAGACATTCTATAAAAAAAGACATCTGCACTAGAATATTCATAGCAGCACAATTCACAATTGCAAAGATGTGGAAACAGCCCATGTGTCCATCAATACATGAGTGGACTAATAAAATGTGGTATATGTATACCAAGGAGTGCTACTCAGCCACAAAAACAATGGTGATCCAGCACCTCTTGTATTATCCTGGATAGAGCTGGAGCCCATTCTACTAAGCGAAGTATCCCAAGAATGGAAAAAGGAGCACCAAATGTACTCACCAGCAAATTGGTATTAAGTGATCAACACTTATGTGCACATTCATTGGGAGTCGGGCATGATGGCAGGGGGGAGGAGGGGATGGGTACATTCACACCTAATGGGTGCGGTGCACACTGTCAGGGGGATGGACACGCTCGAAGCTCTGACTCGGCGGGGGCAAAAACAATATATGTAACCTAAAGACTTGTACCCCCATAATATGCTGAAATAAAAAAGAAAAAATTTAAACTAATTCAAATGAAATGAAATTTAAAAATTCAATTCTTCATTGGCCTCATTTCATGTGCTCAATAGCTGACCAGAGACAGTGGCTATTAAATTGGACAGCACCATATATAGAACCTTCCCATAATTGTAGAAAGTCCTACCGGACAGCTCTGACCTAGACAAACATATTTTTGTGTATATATTTTGTACACATATATTTTGTGTGTATAGATTCTTGTGTGTATGTACAAAAAATGTTTTAGACTTTTTATTTTGAGATCATGATGGATCCACAGGAAGTTGCAAAGAGAATATAGAGGCATCTGGCATGTTCTTCACCCTGTTCCCCCCAATGGTCACATCTTACAAATATAGTAGAATATCAGACCCAAGAAACTGACATTGATGCAATGTACCTATTTAGTTCCGTAACATTTTATATGTGGAGATTTCTGTAACCACTGCTGCAACCAAGACATAGAACTATTCCATCACTGCAAAGATCATCCTCACATATTAATAGCTCCTTCATAGTTACACTTCCCTCCCTCCTTCCCTCCGCCATCCCTAAACCCTGGAAACCATCGATTTCTTTTCCATCCCTATTATCGTATCATTTTGAGAATGTTATATAATTGGAATCATATGTTATGTGACCTTGAGAATTTAGCCCTTTTCCCTCCACTTAGCACAACGCTTTGATATCTGCCCATGTTGTTGAGTGTCTTTTTTAAAAGTTTTTTTTTTTTACGTTTTTAATTGACACATAATAATTATACATGTGTATGGGGTACAGTGTGACATTTCAATACATGTGTACATTGTGTGATGATTAGCATATCCTTTACCTCAAACATTTATCATTTCTTTGTGGTGAGAACATTCAAAATCCTCTCTCCTAGCTATTTTGAAATATATCATATGATTACGCTGTTGCTAATCATAGTCACCGCCCTGTACAACAGAATAGGAGTGCGTGTCCCTCCTAACTGTAGCTTTGTACCTGTTGACCAGCCTCTCCCTAACCTCCCTCTTTCATGTTTCGTTTTATTATTTTGTTCCATCATAATCTTCTTACGTGATACTCCGAGTTTGGCTTCAGTCCCCAATCTACCTGCCATTGTTTACTTTTCCAAAGTCCCGAAGGACTTCTTTTGTGATGTCTGCCTAGAGTTTTACTTGTAACGTGTGAGACAGGTCATTTGTAAGGGCTTACATCATTTTAGCTGGCACCAGAAGTTTACCATGTCTTTTGAAATCAATATACCTATAAATACATATGAAAGAAAATGATTTTTTGGTGATTTATAAACATTTAACGTGTGATAACAGTGCACTAAAACGTGAATAGTATTCATCTATGAGTAGTAAGGTCATTCATTTTGCATTTTTTGTATTTTCCTATATCTTTGTGACTCAATGTATTACTCGTATAATTTTTAAAAAAACATGCAGCAATATCGACTTCAGATTCCTGTGGATTCTTAATTTAGGCATTGCATTCTTTGATGGGAGGACACAGAGTAGTAGAAAAGAAAGAATACAGGTGTCAGATGGGATTGGTTATTAAGTCCTGGAAGAGATGTCCTTGTACAAGTTACTACTACTGGTCCTAGAAGACTCTCTAGCCCATGAATGATCAGAAATCAAATGGAATCAGCATATTTAACTCTAGAAAAATACAGTACACTCATCCTAATATGGATGGATGAAATGAGGGAAACTAGATGCAATTAAGAAAATTGAGTGCTTAAAAGGCTTGACGAAATGAACAAAATCCTAGGCTTATGGTCAAGATGCTTTTGATTTAGGATGACATGCTAAATGTTGAATTACAGTTTAGTACTTTCCCAGGAGAAACCATGCTATAAGCAGATAGATGTTGAATTACAGGGTCGGCCCCTAAAACCCCTTTGAACCCACAAAGTAATTTCTGGTCTTACCTAATTGCTAGATAGTTTCTAACATAACCAGTCAGTGCCATTTTAAAAGAAAAAATATAGAGGATCATCTTTATGATTTTGGGTGTAAAGTAGGGTTTCTTAAACAAGAAACAAAAAGCATAAATTTTATAGAAACCTGTTGTCCATATTGCACATGACTCTCTGGCACTCAGAGAGCTGGAAATCAAGAAATAATGATAACAATAATGATACTCCTCATTACCCTTTGCATTTGTAGACTAATTGACTGCTGAAGAGTCCTTTTCTATGCTTTATCCCTCTTATGGCTCATAACAGACCAGTTTCAAAGAGGAGGAAGCTGGTGCCCAGAGAGATGAAGGGACCCATCCCCCAGAGTCCCACAGTCCCACCCACAGGGGCAGAGCTGGGATTTGAACCCCTGGCGTCCCGAGTGCTCACCTTGACCACCTTCAGCACCCTGACCTCCTGGTCCAGGATCAGCTCATCACGGAAGCACTGATCCCTCAAGAACTGCTCGATCCTCTGCCAGGCATCCTTCACTTCGTCCCTCCAGTCCCCCTGGGGCTGAAGGCTGTGCTTCACGAAAGCGTCCAGCCTGTCCCCGGGGGTGTCATACAGGTCCTGGGCAGCCGCCATCTCTGCAGGACCGGGAAGAAATCCTCTCTGCTTCTGCCCAGCCCCGTGGAAGCGGCACCTTCAGGCCTTTCTCCAGCAGGCTGGAGGACTGCAGAGGGGGAAGGGGACAGTGTGGGGCAGAGAGGGACTTTTCTTCTTCTAGGGCTGCAGAGAGGGCTGGGCGGGAGCCTCCAGGCAGCAGCTTGATCCTTGCTCCCCGGGCTGCTTTCAGCTCGGAAGCCAGCTGTCTTGTTCCTGGGAAACCGAAACTGAAACTGAGCTTTTTTTTTTTTTTTTAATTGGAAACTGAACATTGCTTAACTTTGAAAAAAGAAAAGGGAATTTTCTCCTTCTGTTTAAGGCTGCCAGGAAAGACTGCTGGGAGATGGAGCCGAGCGCCCCCTCCCATGGTTCTCAGCCTGGGAGTTTCCCAGAGTGTCCTGGAGCTGGCCCTGCCCGGTCCCCATTGCCTGTGGCATGGCTGGGAGGTGCTGTTAGGGAGGATAGGCAGGTACCGTGTTTCCCCCAAAATAAGGCAGGGTCTTATATTTATTTTTCCCCAAGAAGACATCCTAGGGCTTATTTTCAGGGGATGTGTTATTTTTTTTTTTTAAGTAAGGTATAACAATCTACATTTATTCAAATATAGTTAAGTCGTCTTCTTCTGGAACATCATCATAACTCTCCAAACCCCGAATTCCATCCTGAATGTCTTGTGACTCTATTTCCTTTAGAACCATTGGCCCCAATCTCTCATGTCGAGCACTAGAGCTCTCACGGGGCAGATGAGAAGGGCTGCTCGTCTTCTTAGTGCTCCACGTAAATGCACGGGTTGTGCAGATGCGCTGCGTAGCCACGCCCGTCACTAGGTCTTATTTTCGGGGTAGGGCTTCTATTTCGCAAATGCTTAGAAATCCTGCTAGGCCTTATTTTATGGGTAGGTCTTATTTTCGGGGAAACACGGTAGGTGCTCACGGCATGGGTGCAGAAAGATTTCTCATGCTGAGATTAAGATATAAAAGTTAAAGTTTATTTTATCCTTAGAGGAGAAAGAGAGAGAGAGAGGAGAAAGGGGGAGGAGGAAAGAGAGAGTGACATCCCAAAGAAAGAGAAGGGGGTGCCAGCAGGGAGGACAAGTGGCTTGCTGCATTTAAGGGGGACAAAGAGAAAAAAATAGCGATGGCTGTCAGTTGGTAGATAAAAAAGAAAAAGAAAGAAAAAGCTGTAAGAACGTCAAAGTCTAAGAGTTGCTTTCCTGCCTTCCCTGGAGAAGAGATTATCACAGGAGATGGACCCTGTCTTCCAGATAGGGTTGAGGCTGCAGCTCAACAATAAACAGTTTTTCTGCTGTTGACTCAGAAACTCTATAAAAGCAGATTCTCACAAAGCAATTTTGAAAGAGAGAGATTTACATCTCTTTTCTGTTTATTCAGCTCTTTCCAGAAGTTGTGCAAAAGAGAACTCCTGCAGGTTGCCTGTTAGTGAGAGAGCAAACTCACAGGATTGATCTTCGAGTGTGACTGGGGAAATTGTGGGATTAGGTACTTTCCTGGTATTTTTGCAAGGCCGCCTCTTTCACTGACTGTCTGGGTGGGGGGCTTGGGCTGAGCCTGAGGGGTCTCAGGGTCCAGGGTTCACTCTATTTTCTAAGGGCAAAGATGTACACACTCGTTTATTGCTTTTCCCCTCCCTCCTTCCCTCTCTCCTTCCCTTCCCTTTCCTTTCCTTCCTTCCCTCCTTCCCTGTCTGTCTCATGCCCTTATTTTCTAATATTGGCTGACTGGTTCCCTATGTCTAGGTGAGCCTCCTTTCCCCTCCAATAAACCATAAGAAGAAGGGAATCCTTTAAAAATTGTCTTCAGAGGGGGTTGTTTTCTCAAGAACTGCAATTTGAAAGCAAAGGACAGTTTGGGGGAAGACTCATTGGTGTTAAAAGATCTCAGTGCAGATGTTGGAGGTTTAAAGAGGTAATCCTATGAAATCAGCAAAAAATTCGGGTTTAGCAATGATTCCTGGGAACATGATGTCACATTCGCACATCTGGATGGTGTTGTACACAGGCGCTCCACAAAGCGTTCTGAAAAGGAATCCCGCATGGACACTGCGAGGGTCATAAACAGACACCTATAGGATGCATTTTTTAAATGCCCTAATGGCACATGAATGTGTCACTGCAGTTTGTCAGGAGTGTCAAGACTCCAAAAAGGCCTGTCTCTCATTTTGCTTGATGGAAGAAAAAGATGCCTGGCCCTGGAAAACTGGCTTAGAAGATTCAAAAATTGCCTTGAATATGGGGAAGACACCGCTGTTAGAGATGCCTATGAAGCATTTGATTAAAAAAGAAAACGTGAAAACTAAAAGTGGAAAAGAATAATACTTATGTACGACTCACATGACATATACATGTTTAGTTGTATCTAAACAAATAAATTAAATGTTAAAAGTGCATATTTGATTTCCCTAAAGTTTATGTGATCAGGACAATCCCAACATATTTTTTTTTCTTTTTTTTCTTTTTTTTTTTGAGACAGAGTCTCACTTTATTGCCCAGGCTAGAGTGAGTGCCGTGGCGTCAGCCTAGCTCACAGCAACCTCAAACTCCTGGGCTTGAGTGATCCTTCTGCCTCAGCCTCCCGAGTAGGTGGGACTACAGGCATGCGCCACCATGCCCGGCTAATTTTTTATATATATATTAGTTGGCCAATTAATTTCTTTCTATTTATAGTAGAGACGGGGTCTCGCTCTTGCTCAGGCTGGTTTTGAACTCCTGACCTTGAGCAATCCGCCCGCCTCGGCCTCCCAGAGAGCTAGGATTACAGGCGTGAGCCACCGCGCCCGGCTCCAACATATTTTTTTATTTTCTCACCGGGGAATATTTGTTATTCGTTTATTGGGAAAATTGACTTAGATTTTGGGGTCACCTCATATCAGGGCATTTTCGTTATATGTTTACCCATACTTTTATTTATTTATTTATTTTTGAGACAGAGTCTCACTCTGTTGCCCAGGCTAGAGTGCCATGGCGTCAGCCTAGCTCACAGTAACCTCAAACTCCTGGGCTCAAGCGATCCTCCTGCCTCAGCCTCCTGAGTAGCTGGGACTATAGGCGTGTGCCACCATGCCCGGCTAATATATAT